CAGATTGGGTCTGCCGTGTCACCAGTTCCTCACACGACTGATGTTTTTGAGTTGAGGTTTTTATATCTCTATTTAGTTTGTATTTTGGATAGTGAATTCAATATTTTATTTTCAGAATGTCTAATACTGCATCTCCGGATAAGACGTAAAAGGAAGATTTGTAACATGTTCAGCTGAGTATCTTGGGAAAAAACCAACAAACCGAAGGATATGCAGTCTTTTCTTTCATGGTTTCAAGTCAGTTTGACCCAAACCTTTGAGTCTTTTAAAGAGACAGCGAGGCCATGTATTCTGGCTTTTGCACAGGAATCTACTGGTAAGAGACACAAAAGAAGGGGATCTTCACCTAGATCAGGTTTATCATCGTGGGAATGTTCAGCATCAGCGTTCTCAGAGACATCTGTTGTGGAGATGGGATTGAGAAGGTTTGTGAAGTAGGTAACTCTGTTTTTAAGCCTAAGGAAAAAGGTTTTCCTGTTCAGAAAAAAAAAACTTCTGAGTTTGATGCAAAGAGAATAGAAAAATCCAGAAAGGAGAGTTTTTATCTCCTGACACTTTAAGGACCTATTTAAGCTTCAAGGTGAAGATAAGTAGAATGATCTACATACAGTAGACATCCAGGTAACACATCTCTCAAAAAAAGTATATATATTTTTTTTTTACATTCTTTATTTTATTTGTGCAGTAGGTGACATAAACATGGGCGTAGGAACCAGGGGTGATGGGGGGACGCATCCCCCCCAGCAAATCATGCGGGGGGAACAGGTTATGGGGAAATCCCCCGCAGCTCCGCCGCCCCCCCCCCCATGCTGCAGCTTTGCCCGGGCGGTGCGTCCATGAGGGCGTAGGAGAGGGGCTGACAGGAGGGAAGCGCTCCCTCCTGTCACTGCCTCTCTGTAGCGTGGCCGAGCCCTCTATGGTATGATCCGCGGGTACAGGGGGCATCTGAGTGTTCAGGGGTGTACAGGGGGCACTGAGTGTTCACTTCCTGTTAGTCCGGCCGGGTACAGGAAACAAAAGCTCCCTGTACCCGCGGACCATGATACAGGGCTCGGCCACGCTACAGCAAAGGTAGGGGAGGGGAGAAAGAGAGTGACAAGGGAGGGAGGGAGGGGGAGAAAGAGAGTGACAAGGGAGGGAGGGAGGGGGAGAAAGAGAGTGACAAGGGAGGGAGGGAGGGAAAAAGTGACAAGGGAGGGAGGGGAGAAAGAGAATGACGAGGGAAGGAAGGAGGGGGAGAAAGAGTGACGAGGGAAGGAAGGAGGGGGAGAAAGAGAGTGACGAGGGAGGGAGGGGGAGAAAGAGAGTGACGACGGAGGGAAGGAGGGGGAGAAAGAGAGTGATGAGGGAGGGAGGGAGGGAGGGGGAGAAAGAGTGACAAGGGAATGGGAGAAAGAGAGTGACAAGGGAGGGAGGGAGGGGGAGAAAGAGAGTGACAAGGGAGGGGGGGAGGGAGGGATGGGGAGAAAGAGAGTGACAAGGGAAGGAGGGTGGAGGAGAAAGAGAGTGACAAGGGAGGGAGAGAGATTGACATCCATCACACCAGACACACAATCGCACCATCATGCAAACCTTACACACACAGAAACACACAATGCATTCCTTAAACACACTAAATGCACCCCGTACACACACTCAATGCACCCTTTACAGACGCACACACTGCATCCCGTACATACACAGAAACACACCTTGCAGCCCTTACACATACAAACACAGATTCACACAATGCATTCCTTACACACATATCAGGACATCCCCTACACACTCCAACCCCTGTGAACAAACTCATTGGTGGAACATGAAGGTGGACCCTGGGACCCAGACCTTGAGCTGTGTAAAGGGCCCCCCAAAAATGGAGCTGCTTCCCGTTCTCCCAGAACATTGATTTTATGTCCACAGTTACAAACAGCCTCCAGAGAGCCTGTTCTACACCAGACCAGTGGAGTCAGACTGCAGCAAGAGCCCATCATCATCCTCATCTGGTTGTAAGTAGGCAATCTAGCATATTATTCGTGGCACTAATCTCTAATTTACATGGAAAGGGGTTCTAATATAAATGGAAGGGGTAGAGACGGGTAGTAAAATGTATGGAATGCATTTCTGAAAGTGTCACTGAATGGCAGTTAGGAAATGTGGTCACCCTAAGTCAGGGGCAGTATTACACAATCTGTATATGTATAAAAAAAATATAAAAAGTAATCTGCAAAGTACAAAATGTTTGTGTCATATGTCGTGCTAAAAATTAAGCTAGGAATGTGCATATTTTTTTATTTTTTTAAAATAATTTTTAGAATAATTATACAGACATTTTATTTCTTACATTTGTGATGATTTTTTTTTCCTCTCTATATTCAAGGGACACTATAGTCACCAGAACCACAACAGTTAAACGTAGTAGTTCTGGTGTCTATAGCATGTCTTTGCAGGCTTTTTAATGTAAGCACTGACATTTCGTGAAAAGGCAGTATTTACATTACTGCTGAGGAATACCTCTAGTGGACACTCAGATGGCCACTAGAGGTGCTTCCTAGTCGAGACATGAATGCCGCCCTGTGAAGTATCTGCGCATGTACGGCAAAGCTGCGCATGCACACCAGAGAGCAATGACTCTTCTGAATAGAAGCGTTTTATTGCTCCGTGTTCGCACCCTCCTATTTCGTCATTTTGAGGAAATAGGGGGCGCAGCATCAGGAGGTTCCCGGTGCTGTATCCAGGTACGTAAAATCCCTTCCCTGTAGTGACCCTTTAAAGTTATTATTTAATCATTTATATAGCAACTGCAAATTCCGTAGCGCTGTGCAATGGGATAAACAACTCATAGTTTACCGAATAAGAATATACCTGGCGAGTAAAAATGCTATCCCCCCCAGATTTTTTGGGGTTCCTACGCCCATGATCCCACTGTCCCTTTCACTGTCACTGTCCCAATTCTCTCTCTTCCTTCCTCTCGGCCATGGAGATCTGCTTACGGCAGGTGAGTACATATTACTCTGTGAATCATAGTGAAACCTTTTTTTATTAAACAAGTGCCCCCAACATTTAACTCTGTAACACTGTGCCTATCTGTGCATGGAAGTACACATGGTTTTTATTTTAAGAAGTTTAATGAGTTTAATGAGAAGACCCTGGACACACTGGTGAGTCCATATAGACTTCTGATCTGAATACACACACAGAGACTGCTGAATACACACACACACACACACTCATACACATACACAGACTGCTGAATACATACACACAGGCTGCTGAATGCATACAAACAGACTGCTGAATATACACACAGACTTCGGATACAATCAAAGACTGCTGAATACATACACAGACTGCTGAATACATACACAGACTGCTCATACATTCAAAGACTGCTGAATACATACACAGACTGCTGATACATTCAGACTGATGATATGTTCACAGACTGCTGAATACATACACACAGGCTGCTGAATGCACACAGAAAGACTACTGAATACACACAGACAGACTGCTGAATACATTCACAGACTGCTGTATACACACACAAACACAGCTAAAAGCAAAGAGACTGCTGAGTACACACATACAGACAGCTGAATACACACAGAAAGTCTGCAGTGAGGGGTGCAGTGCATGTGAGTGGTGCTGTGTGTGCGTGTGTAAGGGGTGCAGTGTGTATATTAGGGGTGCAGTGTGTATAGGAGGGGTGCATTGTGTGTACAAGGGGTGCAGTGTGTGTGTGTGAGGAGTGCAGTGTATGTGTGAGGAGTGCAATGTGTGTGTGAAGGGTGCACTATGTGTGAGGAGTGCAGTGTGTTCATGAGGGGTGCAGTGTGTGTGATGGGTGCAGTGTTTGTGAGGGGTGCAGGGTGTGATGGGAGCAGTTTGTGTGTGTGAGGGGTGCAGTGTGTGTGTGTGAGGGGAGCAGTGTGTGTGAGGAGCGCATAGGATCTATATTGTGTGGGTGGATGATAAGGAAATGTATATTTTTTCATTTAAAAAATAAATACAATCTTTATTTCAGTCCCACACTTCTTCTTACATTTTGCCAGGACGACAATGACATTGCAAGCCCTGGTGGTCAAGTGGTGATGCATGTGCTTAACCTGCAGTTCCTCCATGTGCAGGCTGACAACATTCTTCTCCTTTCACTAGCAGAGAGCTGAGTCGGAGCTTTGCCATGGTAACACGCCGCAACACACTGAACAGATTATCTGTGGGATTAATTTACAGCCTCCAGGGTCCACCTCCTCACCCTTCTCCTGCAGCTTACTGGGTCCTCCCTCCCTCTTCCATAATGAAGTGCCTTTGGGCCGGTGTGGAGGTCTTTGATCTTCCCACCGGCCTGAGAAGGCAGACAGCGAGGCTGGCTCTGCGTGGGCTGGCAGGGGAGATGAAAGAATCTGCCCTGTCGGCCCAAAAGCACTTCCTTATGGAACAGAGAGGGAGGCTGCAGGAGATGGGTGAGGAGGAGGGCCCTGGAGGCTGTAAGTTGTACTGCTGCAGCAGCTGAGGCTGTAATGTTACCCTCCAGCATGTAGGATGGGATCACTATTCATAATCTTATGTATAACATAAACAAGACACAAAACAGAAAAAGATATGGTCTATTTTACTGTGGAATCTTAATTCTTCTTTGATTATGCACAGGTCTATTATGTACTAGATTTGCATTATGTGACTGCTATTAAAGCTATAGTTTTAGCAAACCAAACATGACCAAAATAACCCAGTTCTTAAAATATTTTGAGATATTTCTCTTTCGTTGCACTAGCTGTGCAGAAAGTATTTAAAAATAAAATATGGAAAAAAATTCAGTTTTTCTAATTATTTCCTATTTTTTATGATTTATTCATAATTAAAGTTGTGTTATGTATATATACATATGGGCTACCAGAAAAAAAAACCGCTATCAAAACAACATTTATTATGTATACGTACAAATAATGTGTTAAACAATGGTAGAACCAAGGCATGGCAAAAGTGACAAATTCTCAGAATTTCAGAAAAAATCACAATGGGGTAAACTTATCTCAGTGTCAATGATTTCAGAAAGTAATTTCCCCAAATCTTGGTACAACGTTTTATAGAGAAGGGATGGATGTGCCTCTCAGGTACCTCTAGGCATAGAATTTTTAGGCTCCGCCTCCAAAATATACCATATGAAGAATAAAAAAAGTTCAATAAATGTTTTAGAAAAAAGCACCTTTATGAAACATGTATAAAGAACTATTTTTAAAATAAAATCAGGTAACATGGAGCAAATCAGCCAAGTCGAGATCAATTTTTTAGATTTAAATATATATATTGAAGACTCAAAGATTCAAACAAAAAACTATTTTAAACCGGTGGATACTAACAGCTACATCGATAGGACTAGCTGCCATCATACTCCTTGGCTTACTAACGCACCAAGAGGCCAGTTTAAGAGGTTAAGAAGAAATTGTACAGACACACAAATATATGTAGAACAAGCAAAATATTTAAAAAAACAATTCTTAGAAAAGGGTTATGAAGCAACCAGCTTAGAAGAAGATTTAGAAAACATCAAACTTATAGAAAGGAAAAAGCTTTTAAAATATAAATCGAAAAATATCCCTGTAAATGATACGGACATTCCTTTTATATGCCAATATAACAAAAACACTAAACAGATCGAAAGAACACTAAACAAGCACTGGCACATTTTAAGAGATGACCCCATTTTGAAA